TTTTGAATGACAATTAAAATTGTAATTCTCATTTAGTATTTCCGAATAGTTTACATAAATTTCATGAGCATTCAATCATATTTAAGGACAGGTTTAACCACTAGATGGCGAGTAACTTCATTTCTATACCTGCAAGTGTCAAAATAATATCAATTATGTATAAGTTAAAGCAAGGAAAAGGATAAGTATCAACAATCTGCATTTTACGCTAACAGGAAGAATCTTCTTTACTTTTACATTAATTTTAATGTACATATTTTTAACGCTGTATAGTCATCCAAGTGAGAGACCAGAGTGTATTATGATTTGTCAGTTAATCATGGCGTTTAATTTTCCATTTTTTCTGTACCTTTCTATGTTTTAATACGCTCAGTCACGATGAGATGATAGTTTTCATTTTTAATACTCTTATAAGTGTTTGTTTACTTTTATTTGAATGCTCAAAATTATTCTTTCATCTCAGATATTAAGATGTTAATTTCTGAAAATTAACATCGCAGAAGCCATCACGTTTTGTGCAGACAATATGTACTTATAAAATAAGTCTAACATAACTTAAACACTATTTTAAATCTATGCGTCCTTCGGAAATGTTCTGTATTATTCATTTTTCATATCAATTAGTAAATTCCATATTTTTCTAATGCTATAAAGTCTATATATGACAATCGCGATATAAAAATTCAAAAAATTGATCTTAAAAGAAAATTTTTTTATTATTCAAATTGATTAACAAACAATTTTCAACTCTTAAAAAAGTATTTTAAAAACCTTCGAAATTTTTTCCATGAAATAAAATTTTCAAAGTTAAAGTTTTTTAATTCAAGCGATCGGAAAATACTTGAAGTTTTTCGGAAATTCTCAAACTTATATCTAATGTTATAAATATAATTTATTCTTTAAAGAGTACACTAATTTTGCAAGAACTTCATCTTCGCGAAATACGAATTTAATTCGAGTGATAATTTTGGACTGATCGATTGCTCCTTAGAACTTATTTTTAGCATATTACTTTCGCAAGTTTCAATTTTAATCGTTATATTTTTTCATGCCTCGTCCGATCAATGGATTACACACAGAAATTTCGTGTGGAGTCTTGCGAAATAGAATTTAGATAACCATACAGCGATTATTTGAAATCGTAAATGTTTATATGAGTACGTTCGTGCTTTATTGCACGTCCGCGAAAACGAGCGGATGGTCTATCAATTCGCATTAAATTTCAACGTATGTACACGATTCATCCATGGCACTCGAATGCCACGCACAGCTGTATACAGTGTACACTTTGGCAGAGGCCATCTCGTGAAACGTTGCAACATTTCGCGCATGATCTGTACTAATAATTTGCTATCACCCTCGCGCGCTCGATTATGCAGGGTTAACGGTGTTATCGGAAATTTCCGAACAAAACTTTCGGAAAGTCGAGCTGTTCATGCTACTGCTGCTGGCTCTGTGATAAAAATAATGTAAGCAGCTAGCTGCCTTGTTCAATAACTCAGAATGGATTACGTACTCTCGAGTGAGCTTGCGTCAAGTCCTTAAATAATAAATTTATCAGAACGAAAAAAAGCTCAAGCTCTTGTCAGATTAAAAGTAAGGTTAAATAAGTACTCTTCATATTTAATTATAAGGAGCATAGCCTTGGCAAAAAAGGGCTTATCAAAGTGTCAGTTAACAATTTTAGCTTTGATTGCTCAACAAATACCTATTTTTTGTGAAATACATTAAAAAACGATTACATAAGGGATGCCATTTGAGAACTAAATACAAAGAAAAAAAATCAAGCTGTAAATATCAAGGTGATTATTCCACGGAGCGAGAAAGTGTCGATGGGTGTGTACTCGTGGTTAAACACCCTCTCCAACTCTCTCTCAACCCGTCTTATATATACCAAGAGAAATTCCAAGTCAATCAGAAGGAGACCATAAAGTAGATAAACAACGTGCCCGGAAACGCGCCTAGCGAGCGAGCTCGCACACGCAAAAGATGCACTATTACTCGCAGAGAACCATAATCCGCGATTTAGCGCCACAAAATATATATATTTCTTACTGCTGTACTCCTTCCCTCGCCTCAAAAGTGTCTTTACAGGCAACATTCACGTTATATACAGGGCTCGTGCACGTATACGCTAGGAGAAAGGGGTAGTAGAAATCCGTGAGAAGACGCGCATATACACACGCACACACATACGTGTACATAAGCACACGAACGAGCGAAAGAAAGAAAGAGAGAGAGAGAAAGCAGCAGCAGCAGCAGCGGCGCGTCGAGATAGCGTCGAGAGAGGCGTCGCGAGCAACGCCAAGCGGATTGGCGTTTGGGCGCCAATCCGCGCGACGAGCGCTCATTATCGCCCAACTGTGTCGCGCCGACGCCGCCGCCGTCGCGCTGCACCACGCGCGATAGGGGGGTGGAGGCAAATCTCGCCTCTCTTCCATTTCGCTCGCTCTCGCTCGCGGCCCGCAAGGACCGGAGTTTCGTCCCCACCGCGTCTCTCTCGCGTAGTGGTAGTAGTAGTAGTGCATGTCGGAGCCGCGTCACAAGCACGCTGCATTGGATGCGCCGCCGTCGCGCGAGCGAGCGAGCGAAGAAAGAGCGTCAACGGGGAAGGAGGAGTAACCGCACCGCGTGTGCTATAGTATATAGCAGAGAGAGAGAGTATATACAGCGCGAGATGTGTGTGCACTTTTGCCTCTCTCCTTCTCTTTCTAGCTCGTGCGCTGCGTGCAGTATATATGCATCTAGCAGCAGCAGCGACGAGGCCTCCGGCATTCACGCCTCCAGAGCGACGCGCTCTCGTCGCGTTGGGCGCCACCGTCGTCGTATAGTCGTCTGTTCTCGCCAGCACAGCTAAGCGCGCGCGCGTGTGTGTGTGTATGCGAAAACTGCGTGATAATACTCACGCGTATGCACACACACACACATACTGGTCGTGGAGTCGTGCGACTCTCGTGCCTTCGCGCCGAGCCAGCAATATACACTGGCACACAACGCAGCTCGGCTGCTCGCACACAACCACTGCAACGAACTCGCCCGTGTCCGTGTTACCCCGCACGGCACACACAGCGCAGCAGCAACGCAAGAAATGTTGCTCGCTCGCTGGCTGACTACGGTGGAGGGGGCGTTGGAGGGGTGACACAAACGGGTTATAGCGCCGTCTCGCTCGCTCCACCGTAGCTTTCGGAGCGCTCTCTCTCTCTCTCTTTCTCCATCGTGGTAGTGGGGATAGACGGGGCGCACGCCCCTCCGCTCTCGCAGCTCGCTCTCCTCGGCCGCTTTGCGATGCTCCAGCGGCTTTCGCCGATATCGCCGTCTTTTTCGCACACACACGGTCCGCTTGCCTCCACTGTATACGGTCGCGTCGTCGCGTATATACCAGCGTGTTGCTGCTCCCGCTTCGCGCTCCGGGATTCTCTCTCTCTCTTTCGCTCATCGGCGACACCTTCCCTTCGCAGCAAGCAGCCAGCGAGCAGCAACACACAGCCAGCCAGCCGTCGTCGTCGCGCGCCGCCGTCGCCGCCGCTGTTGGTATAGCTCTCTCTCTCTCTCGCTCTCTGCGTTACGGCCGAGGTGTGGGGGCGAGCCTCGGAGAAGGTGTCAATCCTAGCGCTGCTCAGTGACCATCGCGGCACCACCCAAGTAACACCTTTGCTTCGCGCGTCGCGCGGATCGCTCCGCTATATACGTTTTTCGTGGTGCGTCGTAGGCAGTGTATACACGCGCGTCGCCGTAAGACCGTGTATATATTATTATAATTATACAGTACGTTGTATGCGTTCGGGTGCAGTTTTTGGCATACGTACCGCTACTACTGCACGATATATCGTAATAATAACACAGTGCGCGTTGTTCCGCGGTTGTGCGTGCTTCGTCGAACGAGAGAAAAGAAAGAGAGAACCGAGTAGACAGCGGCAGCAAAGCCACTGGCAGTGTCATATGTTTACCCCGACGATCAGATGCAAAGTGAATACATAGCGGTGTGCTGCGTATACGGTATGCAGTTCGTGTGCAAATAATACATCGCATAACCTCAAAGTCGACGACACGAAAAGTGCAGAGATTTGTGCATCGTCGTGTGCCGAGTGCAGAAAATTGCATTCGACGAGCGCCAAAATTTTTGTCCTTAATTTTGTTTACGACTACGACCCACTGTCTCTCGAGCCTCTCAATGACAGCGCTCGTTTGATAATACAAGGTCCATCATCGGCAACGACGATATCAAAATCTCGGTTCCAGGTTGCTGCAAGATCGTCGGCTAAAGATATAATATAAAAACTACTCGCCGGCCGTCGGAAGCTCGTTTTTGTTATTTTGGAGCGCGATCGTCAACAACGAATGAAACTCCGAAGCATCGGCTTATCATAACAGTGACAGTTGATTATTCAACGACAAAAAAAAGAGTGCAAGTGTATAACGTGAGAATTGTAGAATCAAAATAATCGAGTTGACATGACGTTGACAATAGCTAGCCGCATTATCAATTTTAGCAGAAGCAGCCGCAGCCACAGAACGTCGGAGTGTCGTGTTGATTGTCGTGATAAAGTGTCGAGACGACTCGTGTCGTGAGTCCTCCCTCCCTGTAATTATCCCTGCAGCAGTGGAAAAAAGAAGTCATCACCACGTCGTCATCGTGGGAATGACGAGCGGCAAAAGAAGACTCGATCATTGCAATAATAACGAGGGAAAATCGGACGTCGAGCAATCGTGATCGTGAAAAGTGTGTTGTTATTGTTTTCGTGTTTTGACAGTTCGAGAAAAAGAGAGAGTCTCGATAACAGAAAAATTTAAAAAAAGGATTATAGTGGACTAGTGATCGATAATATAAAAGAAATATTTTGAAAGTTTTTGGAAGTTTAATTTCGAGTTGAGAGTGACTCGCTCGCTGCCAGTACTCTCACACGTGTGCGTGTGCGCGCGACCTCGTCTCGCGGTTGAGCGCGGTCCTCGCTCACCACACCACCGGTGGGGCAAGGTACCTCATCTCAAACCCGTCCTCGATGAGATTCGAACAGGAGACAGCGTGCAGGGGTACCCACTGCGCCAGCGCTCCGCTACCAGCCACACTGCATCCGCATCATCATCTTCATCAGCAATCAGCAGCCGCCGCCGCGAGCAGCCTCAACGGTAATCTCCTCAGCCATCATCATCATCATCTGCTGCAGTCGGTGCATCAGCAGAATTTTCTCCACCAGTATCATCAGCATTATCAGCAGCAGCAGCAACAGCATCAGCAGCATCATCAATTTTTGCAACATCCAGGACTCCTGGTGAGCAGCAACGGTAGCCACAGCCACAGCGGCAGCGGCAGCAGCGTCAGTAGCAGCAGTCCCTCGCCGTCGTCGTCGTCGTTGAACAACAACAGCAGCAGCAACCACCAGATCGGGCACAGAAGCAGATCGCCTCTGGGTGGTGGCGGCGGTAACAGGAGTCAGTTGTCGTCGGAGAGCAGCGTCGCGGAACTGGCTCCGTACGTCCAGGCAGCCGGCTCGAAGGGAGAGGAGAGTCGTGTGGCAGCAGCATCAGCCGATCGGCCGATCAGCAACAGCGTGGACACAAGTAATAATAATAGCCCAACGAGCGGAGGCCCGAGAAGCCCGCACCAAGAGCAGCAGCAGCAGCAGCCCAAGAAGCCAAGAGCCGTCGCACCGGACCCACCGCTAAACTACAGTCCGGGCAGGGCGGGCAGCCCCACGGCGGCGGGCCCCGTAGAAGACGCCACGGGCGGCGACGACCACCAAGAGCAAGTAGGAGCGCGCGTCGCCAAGACGACGGTGCTAGCTGCAGCGCAGGCCAGGCCGGCGGCGGAATCGGGTGGGCCTGGGATGGCGTACCCGGCGCCGACCGCGGCACTAAGCAGACACTCGCCCTTCGGCGGCGGAGGCGGCGGCACCTCCCTCGCGTCGTCGACGTCGTCGGCCAGCGCGACTCAGCCGAGCGGCGTCGGCACGCCCACGGCCTCGGCCACCGTGCCCTCGGCGGGCTCGAGTCCAACGGGCCTCGTCGGCAGCAACGGTCGGCTGCCCGCGCCCGCCGCGCCCCGGCCCACGGACTTCTCCGTGTCGAGCCTGCTCACGGCCTCGGGCAATCATCCGGCGAGCATGGGCGGCTCGTCGACCCAGGGCAGCGGTTCGCCGCCCGCAGCGGGTCCGGGTAGTCCGGCGGCGGCACCCGAGACTCCGCCACCGCAACAGAGAGGCAGTGCCGGTGGTGGTGTGCCGGGGGAGCTGAGTCCGCACGCCGCGGCCGCGAGCTACTTCGGCGCGGCGGCATTGGCGGCGGCGGGCTTCTACAACCCGGCCGCGCACCTGCCATCGGCGGGCTCGCCCACGGCGGCCCATCATCTCGCCGGTAAATCGCTGCTGGGAGCGGCGCATCATCATCCCTCGTTCAGTCCACAAGGCCTCGGGCCGCCAGGTTAGTCCAGTGTCTCTTTTTATCATTCCTTCGTTAGTTTTTCTTTACCGTGCGCAATGCCGATGAATAAACGTGGTTGTTGGTGTCTCATATATAGCTTGTGAAATTGACTTGCAAAGTGCCAAAGCTATATTCGCGTCGTGTAAAAAAAGCTCGTCTTGCCGAGTGACAAAAATTACCAATCCGAAACACGGAGTCGATAGTTTTTGACAGCTAGCAGCTACCGTGTTTATCGCTTTATGCGCCACTCGTTTCAATCGGGCTACTACTTTCTTGCTTTTATTTTTTCTTCAAAACTCTCTCTCTCTCTCTCTCTTTCTCTCTGATTACAAGCGAGCGTCGCGTCGAAAAAAACTTAAAATTCTAAGCATCTCGCTCAATAACTTCCTCTCTCGATGCAGGCGCGCAGTCACAAAAGTGTCTGTTCGCGCGCGCGCTCGTCGTGTCTTTACTTCAGGGTAGTTTCTTCGCGCGTGAGATTTTTTGGCAGCTCCTCGTGCCTCGAATACGCGATCGGCTATTTTGTATAATAGGATGCAACATCGTCGTCGTTGAGTCGAGGTGAAGATTTTCGCAAATTTATGTACGCGTGAATTCGCGCCAAGTCTCTGTTTGTATCTGTGTATAATATGTGCACGCGCGAAAGATCATATGCATGCGAGAGATGTGCGTGGGTACGTGTGTGCGTGTGTTTTTCTGCAACAGCGTGCGCGTTTCCCCCTTTTCTACGCCTCTGCCGCACGTACATTATATACATATCAAACTGCGCGCGCGAGTATGTCCGCAGTTTTGACACCGAGTGTTGCTGCTGCTGTGTACATGGATACGTATGCAAAAAAATTGCGAGAGACTTTTTACGTGGAAGTGATATGCATACATTGGGCGCTCTAGGAGAGTACGGCGACGAGAGTCAGTGAGAGAAAGACGTGCGTAGCACATCAGGCAGCATAAAAAAGCGCCTCGCGGTTCGCCGTTTTTTTTTTTGCTCTCTCTCTCTGTTTCGCCCTCGATTGCTGCAGCTACTGCTGCGTTCTTCCGAGCTTTTATACACTCGACTTACATGTACTACTCTCTCTCTTCTCGAAAGCATATCCGAACGATCATCGTCAGCATATTTTTTATTCTTTCTATATTTCTGCGCTGCATTTTCGAAAAGCGTTGGTTACAAACTTTTCAACGTCGCTCGCCTATATTATGCAGAGAGCGTTTACAATCCCACGCGTACGCTGCAGCACGCCATTATATTAGTTCACTTCAGCCGAATTATTTTATTGCGCGAATTTAAATATATGCGCTCGAAGCGTAAAGAAATGCGAAAAAAACAACAAACACCTTGTTTGGGCGCGTATATAACATAATAGTGTGCGTCTAAATTGCGTCGAGACGCATGTCGCGCTCGCACTATCGTTTATGATCCCGTAAAGCACCATCACCTCTGCGACATAATATATGTATATAAATGTATAAATTTCTCGTCCACACGCGAAATATACGCGAAATTTCTCATTCAATTTCGAGACAGATACGCGCCAAAGGGAGAGTGAGTGAAAGAGAGAGAGAGAGAGAGAGAGAGAGAGAGAGAGAGAGAGAGAGAGAGAGAGAGAGATGTGCATACACATTTATATATAACGATTGTATATCCGTACCAGCCATCTCATCTCTTTCTTTCAAGAGAGAGAGTTTTAACAAGGTGAACGTTAAATTTTATTGCATCCAGGCGCGCTCGACTTGGCCAGTATAAAAAAGATCGTTTAGAAGATTCATTGATTTCCGAGTCATTTCGCCAAAGCTTATACACACAGCAGCAGCAGACGCATACACAGTCGCGCGCGGCGCGTACGGGTCGTTATATACCGCGTTTCTGTGCGCAGGAAAACGGAGGGGAAAAAATTCATCATTATTTGCGTTAATATTCGATAATTCATATATAATATGCGTTATCATATTATAAGAAATCGACGGCTGATCGGAACACGAGAGCTGCGCGCGCATTTGACGGAAATAAAAAAAAAAATAAACAGACATTCGTGGACAAAGCGACGCGACGATGACTACCACCACCCGGTCTATAAACGTCAACGCCTCTCACTCTCTATGCAATTATATCTATGTATCGTACAAAAAAATAATACTCGTACCCGCCCCCTAAAAAGAAGCGCGACAGATTCTCTCTCTCTGGAGCCTCGTTAATCGATTTATACAAAATTTATCGCGCGATAGAAAAATTTAGAGTTTTCGTTTCGCGAAGTAATGTGAAGAATTCGACGGCCTCAAAAAAAAAAAAAAAAAAAAAAAAAAAAAAAAAAAAAAAAAAAAAAAAAAAAAAAAAAAAAAAAAAAAAAAAAAAAAAAAAAAAAAAAAAAAAAAAAAAAAAAAAAAAAAAAAAAAAAAAAAAAAAAAAAAAAAAAAAAAAAAAAAAAAAAAAAAAAAAAAAAAAAAAAAAAAAAAAAAAAAAAAAAAAAAAAAAAAAAAAAAAAAAAAAAAAAAAAAAAAAAAAAAAAAAAAAAAAAAAAAAAAAAAAAAAAAAAAAAAAAAAAAAAAAAAAAAAAAAAAAAAAAAAAAAAAACAAAAGCCTTGGAATCGGGAGGGAAAAAATCGCGAGACGAATAAGGTATTATATACGGCGGAGGGCGAGCGCTCCTCCGAACACAATCGAGCCCGTCAGTCGGGCGCGCGAGCGAGCGATATCTTTGTCAAAAGCTTGAAATACCGAGCGATTTTCACTCTCTTTCTCGCGCACAGTTTCTCTCTTTCTCTCTACCTCTCGCGCGCGCGCGCCAAAAGAGAGATTGCCTCTCTGCAATGTGTGTATAATAATAAGTGAGCTCTCTCGGCGCGCGCACGCAAACGTCGATTGAAAATTCAAAGTGCAACTTTTATACTACTACGCGGCACAGAGAGTTGGCCTCAAAAAAACCACTTTATTCGCCCAATTAATTTGGCCCCGGTATATAGAAAAATATATACGCAATAATCGAGTGAATTGTCTCGAGATTTATCGCGCTCTCTTGCTCTCTCGCGTATAAGTATAGTAGTCACGCGGTATTATATATAAAATAAACGCGCCCCCAAATGGCCGTGCACGAGAGCGCGATAATTTATTTCGAATCTGCGGCCGGCTAAATGAGCGACAAATGTTTGCTGCTGCGGCAGGCGCACGAGTTGAAACATCACATTTTCTCGTGTATATATTAATGAATATATCGGCATTTGAGTGAGACAAGTTCATTACATCTCGGATTGAGAGGCCCCGCGAGTGAGCTGCGAATAGATTATAAATGCTCATTGTATAAAATATTGGCAAAAAAGAGGAATTCTCAAGTGTCGGGGACATTTCGTCGAATCATCATCCAAGCTCGAGGACCTCCCAAATTCACGCCGTTTATGTTAATTTTGCGAGAAAAAAAAATAAATTAATGAATATTACTTTATCTAACGTAAGCTGCTCTGTCTGTCTGTCTGTGTATGTGTGTGTGTCGCGCGCGTTGCTACGGCGTAAATCAGTCTCTATTATAAATCGTCGATAAATATCCCCCTTTCTCGCGTCGTCGAGTAAGAGTGCGTGTATGGCTGCACACAGTACACACACACACACACACTCGTACAACATACAACGACGTCTCTTTGTGCGTCGTCTCTCGTACAGCAGCAGCAACGGCAGCGCGAGGTTAAGAGATTAACATTCTTCGGCCAAATTTTTTGCCTTCTATATGCCGTCTTCGATTTTACACGCGCGTATACATGTGAATCATCGATCGTCGCGCACAGTTTCAATTCTCATTATAGATTACACCTTTTCTTTGCCACTCGGGCTCTCGCGCATAATAATCCAATCGCTCGTGTATACGTTTACCGGGGCACCCGATTATACGTACAAATCAATTTTTTTTGCTTTTCGACGACTCTTCGACTCGCAGAACTTTCGACGCAGCAATCATCGCGAGACCAATTCCGTAATTAATCTCGACGTCTTGCTGTGTGCTTTATTTATTATTCTCCTTTTCTTTCTTTTTATGAAATACCTTCGATACTTTCGCGTTTTTATGCGTCAAGTACGAGTAAAATTTTGCATTACTTCGCGCCGCGTACAACGAGGCACACAGCGAAAGATCAACTTTATTAGGCGCGCGCGCGCAAATTGCATCGTGCGCCGCCTGCAGACAATGCAACTTATCGATTTTGAGCCTCCTGTGCATAGGTTATGTGCGTGTGTGCCCGTGTGCAGCGTATGAGCAAGGAAACTCTCGATATAAGCCCTCACTCCCTTTATGCTCTTTCTCTCTCTCACTCTGGGTAAATGTATTTTTATGCATTATTAATACGAATAGCCAACTGTGTATGTGTTCGCCGCGCGATATCAACAGGTCTGAAAGATTGAACTATGTGTACATAATGCATGCATGTGCAATATTATATCTACGTGTGTGCGCGTTAAAAGTCTGCGTGTACCGAGCTCCGCGTTAGTACGTTGTTGTAAGTTTACTATCGAGCCACCGCCGTTGCGACTCGGTGTAACATCGCCGTGTGTGCATACACGGCATATATTATGCACGTTATATAATAACATAAGATGAGGAATAATAAAATATTAAAGCTACCGCGTGCGCGCCGTTGCCGCGCCGCGAAACGACTCATTATTTTTCGCGCGCAAGCCGTAATAGCCGTAGTGTAGTAGCAGCAGCTAGCGTCATATTATAAAAGCGTACAGCTCGGATGTAACAACGTCAACTTGCGGAATCCGAGCGCGTCGCGAGCATCATCATCATCATCATGGAAATTTCTGTGCGCTCCTATATGTGCTTGCATTATATGTGGTTCGGTATTCGGTGATTCGACGCACGTAACGGTGCAGCGGCAGAGAAGTTACAGCAACAACAAGAAAAAAATTTTAAGCAAGAGTTTAAAGGCAGCCCTGGTGTACACGCAGCTGCGATTAGCTGCGAGAGACGCGCGCATTTGACAAAGTTTTAGAGCCGATTGTTTTTTTATGCATGCACGCGTGCACACATAGTAAGCAGACACACACGTACGTACACGGGAGCAACAATTCTTCGTTGGGGCGGGTACAGGAGAGGCTCGATTTTCCTCGTTATTACGTAATTATCGGGTTTCAGCGGTTTACACCTATACAGGCGCACACGCAGGCACAAGTACATGCAAACGTTAGCGCTGACGAAGCAGGATTTATTATTTTTTTTTTGTATCCTACTCCGATTCATCGTACTCTCGTTATTATATTATTACATATCCTTCGTATCGCGACATTATCCATCGATTGAATTTTCCGACGCTACAATTTTTTTCCCCTTACGTACACCCGGACTCCGAAAATCAAAGCGCACCGAGAAACGATCGCTCTCGGCTGGTCTCGGTGAAAAAAGAAAAATTAGAATCACGAGGCTGATTATCAGCGAGCATATATCAAATAGCTACGAAGCGAGAAAGCGAGTCTAATGAGCATAAAGCACAGTGTAACATTATGCACACGCATTTTTCTTATTCTCTCTCTCTCTCTCTTTCTCTCCTTTCTCGCTCGCTCTCGTACACATAAGCGTTTGGGTTAATACTCGGTGGTGGCTGACGGATGATTGGCCGAGAAGTCTTATGCAAACAAGTTATTTTTCATCTCTAATGTAAATAATGCTCTCGCGCGCCGCGCATATTGCAAACTCGCTGCGCGTGGCAAGATTATGTGCATCCTCGAAAAAATAAAAGAATTAAACTTTTCATCCTGATTATCGCGTTGATGATGATGATGATGATGATCGTGACGTATTGACGGGTATTAATTTCAACGCATACATACACGCAACAAACCAACGCGTCGTTCGGTTTTGAAAAGTCAGTTTGGTCAGCTCCCCCCTTCCTTCTCTTTTTCTGCTCGCGAGTTATATACGCACGTGTAATTCGCACTACAACGTGCATGTACATACGCCTCCGTGACATTTCGCTCGTCGCGTAAGCGCAACGGCAACAGCAGCAGCAGCAACAACAGCAGTGTATATTGTACATAGTAGCAGCGAAAATCTATTGCATAAAAACAGTGATGAATTTGTAATTCACGCGCGACGCGATCGGCCGGATGTGCCGACTCCTCCGGGGACTTTGCAAGTCAAAATTGCGGAGGCCTCAACGTTGTTATTTTTTTTTTTTTTTCAACTCGGCACTTTTTTTTCACTCGCTATTTTCGTCGCTATCGGTAACGCACGCGCGCGCTGCTCGTCGTGTGCGTAAACGAGCTTAACTTTATTTTCCACATTTTTTTTTGTAGTTTCGCTGCTTTTTTGCCGTACATCGGGTGTTAAAAGAATCTATAGCACGACGAGCGCACACACACACATACATATACGTACGAGCAAAGGGAGCCCCACTCGACCACATCCCATGCCAACCAACCCTTGGCGTATACGAAAAAATTCCTCTCATCCTCTCTCTTTTTCTCTCGTTCGCTTCCAATAGGCTCGCTTACAAAACGCATCAGCTGTCCCCCACTATATATACCACACATACATATATATAGCCATCATCCCTGAAAAACTTTCTTCCTTTCTTTTCCCTCCTAGTCCGTTTACCCTTTTTTTGGGGGGATCCGTGCGCGCGCGCGTGGAGTATCAAACCGCTGCCTATGGTCTATATATTATATAATGTACACGAGTTTGCCCGATCAATGGGCCGAGCGAAAGAGGCTTTCCTCTCTCTATTTATATCCTCCAATTAAAACAGTCGCGCTAATAGCTGCTATACGCTCAAACGCCGAAGCAGCATCAACAGCACCCCCCGACGACGACGACGACGACTACGTACCTATATAACCGTTTTTGGGGATATCATCATACGCTTAGAGGGAGAGAAAATTCAATAATCCATACACGCGGGTATATATATCGCTTACGTCAATGTACAAACACCGATCGTAGATGCCGTATTTTCTAATGAGAGGCCTGCACTCACGTAAACATGCCGAGCTGCTGCTGCTGCTGCTGCTGTGTGATAATTATAAATTATTACTTACAAATCGAGAGAGATCGTTTTTCTCGCTTTCGCGCCTCGCGCGCCGACTGTAATAAGAGGAGAGGCTCTCTCTCTCGCATGATCCGCGAGGCCTGCTGCTGCATTGATCTTAATTAATACTAGCTTTAACGTTACGGTAGCGCGCGAGCTGCATACATTAACTGCGCTATATGTATGTTGTGTAGTAGTATACACGTACACACACACGCACGCTCGGTTGGGATTTTCGCGCGGTTATACACGTTATACTACATATAGCACCGCCTCGCCGTGTATATGTTTCGCGTGTGTGTTTATCGTGTACCTTTTGCTTGAGTCGCTACTGCCTTCGGATTATATAGGTGTGTCGTGTGTGTGTGTGTGTTTGTATCGCGCGCCAAGGCTGCTGCCGCTGATCTAGAACTACTAATTTGAATTCGGTCGAGCGACGATAGAATTTCCGAGCTTGAGGTGAGAATTTCCGTCGTCCGTATTTTTTGCTCCTTTTCTGCCCGTAAAATTACGTCAAACCTCATATCGACGGATCTCGCTATCGTCGATTTTTTTCATTTTACACGCGTCGATCGCGTTAGATATAAAAAAGTGAACGATACCAGTCACTGCGTGCGTATACAGCAGGAAGGGGCAGAGAAAAATGTTTTTTTTTTTCATTTCTGCCATTGTAATTCGTTTTAGACTTGACTCGCGCTCGCGATCGCGCACACAACGGCACTTATATAAATAAATCGAAGCCGACTGTATATTATCGTATATACATGTGTATTATATTCGTTGCGAAGAAGACAATTGGCCGTCGTTAGGATTGCTCTATTGACCTACGCGAGACCCGCGAAGAAGAAACGATCGCGGCGCGCACACACGCGCGTCGATTCTATTTTTAAAATGAAAGAAAAAAAAAATAAAAAATAAAATACGCACGACGCGGCGCATTATAATAGGTATAGTACGGTATATACATAAGAAAAACGTCGCGAGCTCGCTGCATAGTAATTGAGCGTGTGCGTATACGTACCATTACATGTCGCGCGCGCGCGCGCATGTAAAACTCGCGAGCTCGAAAGACAATTAGAGACGAATCGCTCGCGCGTGTACATAGTACGTACCGAGCGCGATTTTTTCGCACGGTCCCGCGGCGACGGCGGCGGCGGCGCACGAGTAGTAGTGACATTCGTCGTTGACCTGAATTTTTTTTCAAGCACACACATATGCTCTACGGAGCCTTCTTCCTCTCTCGTCATCCGTGCGCGCAAGCTCGATTGCGTAATATCGATGTACTCCGATCGATTCGCTGCGTTTAATAGGCACGTATACTAACACACGTATATATAGTGTGGCAGCAGCAGCAGCCTCATCGCACAGCATCATCTTTGCGCTTAACCCTCAATAAATTATAATTCACTGTGCCTTATAATTTAGCTCGATGCAGCAGCAGCAGCGGTAGCAGCAGTAACAGCGCGCGAGAGAGCGGCATCTCCTATATAAAAGCAGTTATTACCTTACTAATGAAACTGCCAAGTTTTGTGCTGTGTATATGTGTGTGTATACCTACGAGATAACTCTCCCTCTCTTTCTTGTATGCTGGGCTTCTCTTTTAGCCGCTGCTGCTGCTGCTGCTGCGCCAAGCGTATATATACACACAGCACCACTACTGCAGCAACAGAATATATACTACTAGTGTATAGAAGCAACAGCTCTTTCTCTCTTTCTCTCTCTTATATACACATCAAGCGACTGAGGTACCGGCATGACAGAGTCCTCAAAAACAATGAAGAAATCTGCTGCTCTCGGTGCACTTCTTGTGCGCGCGTACACATACACACACACGTATATATACCGCACACTTATTCAGTAGCAGCCGAGAGTAAGAGAGAGAGAGAAAAAGCAGCGAATACTACTGCTGCTGCTGCTGCAAATGCCCCCATATTATTATTCTTTGATCCGGGCTTTATTCGCACCGCGTCGGTAACCGCATTTTACTTTTGGACTCCCTTTGAAGAATAACCCATCGGCCGACGACGACGTCGTCGTCGTATATACTTGCTCGCTCGCTGCACGCTTGAGACAAAAGCGACGTTTCATTCAGGTACGCGCAGCAGCAGCAGTACACGGCACGCTGAGAGACGAAGCCGTAAGCAGCAGCAGCAGCAGCAGTCTGCGTCTTCCTAATTCCTTTTCCTTTTCTTTTTCGCTCTCGTTGCGGCCCCGAAAAAACGACCAACAAATTATTAAGCCTTTTTTTTTTCTCGAGAAAGAGAGAAGCTTTTCTTCGGTCGCGTCGATGCCGCTGCTACCGCTGCTGCTGCTGCACGTCGTCGGTCTCGTCGTCGTCGTCTTCTTATGTACCCAATGTGCACAAACTCCCATTCGCATATATGTGTGTATATATTCGCGTGTGCATGCATATAAGCGCTAGTTGTAGGAGTATAGAAGAGATAAGAGATCTTGATGGTCCGTACGTGACGCCGTCTGCCAGTCGCGCGCATATGCAAAGTTTTGTGCAGCAGCATGTGTGTGTATACGCGATACGCGAGACCCATTCATCCGCGCGCGCGGGGCTGTGTGTTTCTTGCATTGCGCAGCACACACGAGGCTTATTTTAAACCGCAACGGTTGACGCACACACACATACGGATGAGACACTTTTTGGATTGAAACGAGCGCTGCGCGCGACACCACAACCACGTACATATGTATATTTTATATGTGAGATCTGCATAGGAGCTAGGCTTAATGTAACGTTTCTCGGTATCGACTAGATCGTTCTCGGCAGTAGTATCGTAGTGTATGAATAATTATTATTCTCGTGTTTTTTATCGTTATTTTTGCTATTTTTGCAGGTCTAGGCCTTGGGCCACAGACGTCGGAGGAGGCGCACGCGGTGCTGGCCGCGGCAGCGGCTGCCCTGCATCAGGGCGCGGGTGGCGGTGCGCCGGGCGGTCTCAGGCCCTCGCTCAGGCCCGGACTGACGCCCGGCATGCTGCACGGCTCGCCGCACGGCCTGCCCGGCCACCATCATCTCGGCAATCCTCATCCGCATCTGGTGCCGCCCGCCGAGGACGACGGCGTCGTCGACGATCCCAAGGTCACCCTCGAGGGCAAAGAGCTCTGGGAGAAGTTTCACAAGCTCGGCACCGAAATGGTTATCACCAAGAGTGGACGGTGAGTTGCGGTTTTATTTTTGTATATAATATCGCGCGCTCTTGTATGTTGTATTAATATTCCGGTGACGCGATAGTGTACGAGCGATACAGCGTACGTACACGCATCGTGTGTGCGCGACGACGTCGCGTATACAGCTTCGGTATCTCCGCGACCGAATTCGAAAGGCAGGAAAAAGAAAAAAGCAGCAGAACGGAACGATAACCTCGACGCAACTTTTTTGATTTCACCCCGTGTCAGTGTGTATATAAAGCAATTATAAATTCGACTCCGAGAGTCGGAGATGAGACGAGCGAGAGCCAATTTAGCCGCCAGAAATCACGCCGGTTATTTTCGCTCTCTCGCGCGCGTCCCGATCCTAATCGGACTTTCGCGCCAAGACGCACGCGTACCGATCATATGTACTACGGCCTTCTCTGCTGCTCGTGCCCTCACACACGGGGCGTTCTTGTATAAAACAAAGAGACACCGTGTTGCGTGCGCGTGTGCTCCGATACACGTCGCGCGCAAGGATTTTTCTGGCCCGTGATCTATTTTGGCACGCGCTATAACTAGACTCTCGATGTTTATCTGCGCGCGCCCTGGCAGCGGTGCAGCAACACGTGCTCTTGTCAATTTTCGCGCGCGAGGACAATTTTCCGACGCACAATTTCGAAGCGCAAGACGGAGCAGCATCAGCCGCAGAGTGCGAGAGAACGAGAAGATAGCCGATTGTGCAAGTCGCGCGCCGATTACACTCTCTTCGCGAAGACGAAATAATGAACGATATTCGAAGTTATTTTCAGAGCTTACACACGCTCTCTGGCTTCGTCGCTGCCGCGCGATAAGATTATAGTCCACGAGTTGGACTTCACTGCTGCTGCCTCTCTCGCGCCTATCTTCATTCGTGAATTCATTTGCTGCTCGTCAGCTCGTACATATCCCGGGGGCGTCTTATCGTAATCGTATAATGCGTTAATCGTTTACATGCGTTATAAGCGGCGCGGCGTACATCATATAATACACGTACACCACAGCAGCGCGAGGCAGTGATTTTTCCAGCGAAATATTATTGCCATTATTATTATTGTCGTCGTTGCGGTAAAAATCATGCGTATACGCAGAAATCCGCAGAAATATTACCAACGTATATACGTAATGTTGGCGCGCGCGCGCGCACTTGTGCTGCCTTATCCCTCCGAGCCCATCGACACGATGTAAAATCCCTGCGCCTTATTCTCGAAAATATCATCCCCACCCCCTCACCTCCCTTTCTACTTCCTCTCTCGCGTTGGTGCGGTTACACGGTTAAAGCGATAAGCTGTCTCTCGCGAGCGTGAGCACCCAAGTGAGAGAAGACTCTGCCCCCCCGCGTACTCCCCGCGAATTTCCATCTGCGAGTGTCATCGCGAGAGAGCTTGTGCTTGCTCGTGTGTTAGTGTGTGTGTGTGTGTGTGTGTGTGTGTGTGTGTGTGTGTGTGTGTGTGTGTGCCTATGTGTGTATTACATGCACACGATGCTACAGTGATATTCTTTTTCTTTTTTTTTTTCAACTTCTCTCCATCGTCAGATGCGGAAGTTTATCGTGCGACTAATCGCATTTGGGTGTGTCTGCGCCTGCCCGTGTTTGCCTGCAGAAGCGGATTCGTTTTCTCCGTGGATCGTGGCTTGTTTTCTTTCTCCTGCTCTCTCTCTATCTTTTTTTTTCATTCGCAACATTCGTACATATATACACTTGTAACTTCTTTTTTTTTCGGGAAAAAGTCTATTCCCGCCACGAGAGTTTACGAGTTATGTAATTGCGTTTTATGGCTTGTTCCTCTCACTTTAATCTGATACGCGCGCACACTTGCAATCCGCAGGTTCGCAATTAATTTTTCTCGTATACGGCGGCCGGCCAAATCGTGTTCTCATCGCCTTAAACGATCAAATATGTTGCACACTGCCTCTTTCTCTCCCTATTACATATCGCGCGAAAAACGGATAGGAAGGATCGATCCTCGTAATGTACCTCTTGTCACCTCCTCCTATACATATACGATGTAAGTAAGTACACGTGATATCATATACACCTCGTGAAACAGTACAAAAAAAAAATTCCGGACTCTATAGATCCGGGGCTCGTTTTTAAATAATATATAAAAACCACGAGGGAGCTGGCGAGAGTTAGAGTAAACGCGTTATTAAGAGAAACAAACGCGGCTTCGATATTACCTCGCTACACCGGTACATAATGCAGCAGTGTTGTGTGCATTATAATACGGCAAGTACGTAGTAAGTAATGACGATAATGGAGAGTGTGTTGTACATTCGCGCGAGCACTCGGTTGGCGGATAAAATTGTAATTTTTTTTTTTTTTCATAAATACATACGCGTGTATATAAAGAATGTAGAGATAGTCCGCGGGGTAGTAGCTAGCTAGCTAGCTAGCCCAAGCTTATTTATAGTGCGTGGGCCGCGCGACGCGATGGAACAAAAAACTTATTTCGCCCCACGCGCGCGTACACTGCAAGTTCTATTATTGTTGATATTCAAACTGCAACTTTTTCATCCGTACATAGGTAGTAGCAGTAGTAGCTCAACTCAATTTTATATTCAAAAGTATTATATTCCGCAGAAGCGGAAAGTTTTTCAGTGGTATATGTGGAGAGTATATTTTTAGTCCCGGCTTTCTGCCGCGCGCGCGCGATCGTGTCGGTTCGACGCTACATATATTTACCCACACACACACACACGCATACAGCACGCAGTGCGCTGTGCTGCAAGTGAAAAAAAAGGGTTATAATATAAGTTTGTTGCCTACGCGCATGTGCACGCCGATCAAACTTTTTTCTTTCTCTCTCTCTCTTTTCCCTCGTGCGCGCCACGCACAGCACATGCAGTACACACACACACACACATACAACATGCAGAGCCGCAGCAGCGACAAACGACAAATTCGATAGAGTACGATCACCCCTTGTTGTTGATACATACGCTTACAACCCTTGCGCACGATATTATACAATCGCTCGCGAGCCGGTCGATCGTAAAGAGATATATATGCACGTTCTTTTGCTTTCGAGGTTTTTTTTTAGTAATACGTTTGGCATTATACACACTTTCGAGGCGTTTGATTTCTTTTTTTTTTTACGACTTCTCAAATAAGACGAGTAGTGGTTGCACTAATTTATTTTCACGCGTTAACCCGCGACGACGACGACGACGACGACGACGCCCGCAATATGGAAACAACAATACGTGTAAGAAAATACGCGAATATGTATGCATAATAATGCACGTGTATAAGGCGCGCGCGTAATATAGATCGTTATCCTGCTGTGTAGACTCTACTCCCGGCTTTAATCAGGTATATTATACGCGAAAAAAGCGAGCTCACCTATACGTGTGTACACAACGTCGTCGGTATTTTTACGATCGGCTTCTCGTGCCAATGGCGTGTTTGGCAAAATTGCTCATAGACGCACAAAAGCCGGTACAATACAGCTAGAATATAATTTCATTTTTTTTATAAAAAAAAAAAAAACAAATGACGAGATTCGAAAATCATTTCGCATCCTCGTAAATACACGCGTACATCTCAATTAATATCGAGAACGTATATATACAAGATCGCATGCGTGCGGCTATATGTACGAGGCCAATCGAGAGCAATGATGATGCACGACTTATCATCGACGTCGTCGTCGTCGAGTGTAATTTGGGAAAAATTATTGCCTCGCATGCGTGTGTGTGCTGTACGCGCGGGAGGCGGGCTATTTAACGAGGCATCGTCAGAAAGTACACCTCACAGGACGCCAGTTCTCTCTCTCTCTCGCGAACGAAGAAAGAAATTGCATCGATTAATGCATTGACAGCAAGCCCTGCTGACGCGTGCGTAATTTTCTTTCGATTTTTTATATAAAAATTTTTTTCATCAAATAATCGTGTGTGGGCGCACGCGCGACACTTATATCTCAGGCTCGTTCGTTATAATTTATGCCATCGACGCGATCGGCACACATATTCCAGTGAGAATTATGAAAAATTGCGAGAAAAAAAATTCAGAATTATTTACTCAAGAGTAGCGAATCTTATCGCCTTTTGGCATCGATCTCGAACTTTTTTTTCGTTTTCTTGTTGTCGTCAAGGTACACCGGATTTCATCGGTAAACGGGAGTAATTGTAAAAACATCGCAAGTATTGTCGTAAGTCGCTGCATGCATAAATAGGCGCAAGTTAAGTTATAATCGTTCGACGAACAGCTCTTCGTCCTTTTTGCCATCAGCAACAGCCAATAAATTTTCGTATACACGTATATACTCGCCGGAAGAAAAATGAAAATCCATACCCGCGAAGAGTATCAATTTGAAAATCGCTCTAAATCAATCCTTCCGCTCGTGTTCTTCTATACACACACACTTGTGCTGCACTTTCATAGACACATTCATCAGGCGGCAGGTACCTGTTCACGGCTCGTCCGCAACAAAACGAGTATAATAATAACCATGAAGCAAGAGCAGCAGCAGCAGCGAGGGAGAACCTCCGGCGTCGAATTGGGAGGCTCTCTCTATCCTGTGTATATATAGGCGCAGCAGTATCTTGCCGAGCTTCGTGAAAAATCTTCGGGTACTCTCTCACTCGATAATTACACGGCTGGTGAAATAACGTGAGCGAGAAGAGCGAGAGAGAGAGGAAGGCTTGGAACCTCGTGTGCAGTCCCTACGTCTCAATACACCTTCCCCCCTCGCTGCTCCTCGTATACTCTTTCTCTCTTCATCTTCGCTTATACATATATAACGGACTATGTGTGTATAAAGCTCGTGTACTCTATCCTACGTTTCATATACACTCGCTTCGAGCAAAAAACCACCCAAAGAAACGTTAGTTTAATTTAAATTCGCTTCATTTTTTCCCCCGAAAAAATGTTACATCCAGATATCGATGTATCGATTAATATAGCTTACGAAAACATCGAAACTCGAATATTGCGAATTAACATTCGTGCATACCAACCGATGTACGAGTCGAGTTTCATTGAA